CTCCCACTCCCCCTGCTTGTGTTCCCTCTCTCGCTGTGTCTCTCTCTGTCAAATAAATAAATAAAATCTTTAAAAAAAAATAAAAAAAATAAAAATCCTGTCTTTGTTGGCAGTAGACAATGCCAATAGCCTAATCATGTCATCTCCTTATCTGGACAGCTGACTTGTTAATTCAGGGCCAGAGTTCCAGGTTTGGAGAAGCCTTAATACCATACACTCTAGCTCCTTTGCTGATTGCTTGAGTTTCTTCTACAACAGCCTCAAGATCATCCTGGCAATGTGCAGCACTCAGTGGCTCCTGAAGCAGCTCATTTTCCCTTTGGGTAGCTTGAACATTTAATTGAACTAAAAATTCATCTTCTTTCAATCTCTTTGTTCCTAATTCTGTCCCTTTGTGCTATGCAGAATAAGTTAAATCCCCCTTCCTTCAGTTTTTTGACAATAGCTGATTTTACCAGAAACCTTCCCCCTTTCTCCAGTTTAACAGTACCAGTCCTTCAGTGTTCATATGGCATTGCTTCAAGTTTCCGTTAACACTTTATCAATCTCCTCTGAGAAAAGTTCTCATATGCCTATATCCCAGCATTAGACACATCTTCTAGTTTTGTTCTGAACAGTTTGCCATTAATCATAGTTTTAGCCACAAGAGTAATTAATGGTTAATGCCTCGCTACCAGTTGTTGAATATATACCATAAGGAAGTAAAATGTAATTAGAATCGACCCATTCCCCACCCCCCACACCCAACCCTGCAAAGTTTTCCAAGAGAGTTCCTTTAAAAAAGAAAAATACAGGGACGCCTGGGGGGCTCAGTTGGTTAAGCGACTGCCTTCAGCTCAGGTCATGATCCTGGAGTCCCAGGATCGAGTCCCACATTGGGCTCCCTGCTTGGCAGGGAGTCTGCTTCTCCCTCTGACCCTCCTCCCTCTCATGCTCTCTGTCTCTCATTCTCTCTCTCGCAAATAAATAAATAAAATCTTAAAAAAAAAAAAAGAAAAATACAGAACTCTCATTTTGTCTCTTAGGTACAAACAGGCATTTTCATTTTATCTTCTCTACTTCGTGTTTTTCTGCATTCGTGGCCTAGAATTGGCTTTCTGAGAAAATTCAAAGGACTTCAACAGAATGTTCTATTTTGACTTTTCAAGGAACTCATTCATTTGGACCTGATATTTAGGTGATTCATTATTAGGCATTTTCTGTCACATAATGCAACTTAAATTTTATACTAAGAATAATATTCTCTCAATTTTCCTTGTTCTGTTTTCTCTTGATAACAGATCCTAAGGAACTTAATAGTAAGTTCTTCACCTGGGCTGTTTTGTATATTCTCGTTTAATCTTTACAGGCATCCAATGAGATAGATGAATTATCCCCATTTTATAGTTGAAGGCACTTTAGCACCAAGACATTCAGTTATCTGCTCATAAATTCATGACTTGTACAGAGCCAGAATATGAACAAAACTCCATATAATGGAAAAGGCCTGTCTTTTTGCAATTCCAAATCACTTTATTTATACTTTAAATTAGGAGGGGAAACCACCTAGGACTTATTTCTTTGCAAAAGATCTTTCTGTTGTTTTGTTGTCAAAATCGGGACTGTGGGGGTGTGCCTGGGTGGCTCAGTCGGTTAAGCGTCTAACTCTTGATTTCAGCTCAGGTCATGATCTCAGGGCTGTGTGGAGTTCCATGCTGGGGGTAGAACCTTCTTAAGATTCTCTCACACGTGCTCTCTCTGTCCCTCCCCCGCTTGCATGTTGCGTGCTTTCTCTAAAAAAGAAAATATCTGGACTGGGACCTGTATTTACTTTTAGTATGAGTCTGTTGTGTCCCTTTTTATTTAAAGCAACACTTAAGGGCGCCTGGGTGGCTCAGT